TATTCAATTTAGTAAAAATACTTTTAAGAATAAAATACTCCTAGACCATCGCCAAAAGTATTTCCCTTTCCGCCTACCTTTTTCTTTCTTCTTGCTCTGCCATGCCTCGGTCTTCAGTAGCTGACAATAGTGTAATGCAGTAAATGAAATATTGTTTTATATTGCAGTTTTAATAGGATGCAATAAAAAAAAAGTTCATGTAATAATCTTTTTTTTTTGTAACTACAGCATTGAAGATGACCCCTTCGAGAAGTTTAATAGCTCGTTATACGACACATAATTTTCGAGACAGTTTACTTGTCGGCAGAACTAGTTAGGACTAACAATTGGGCATAGATTAAGGAGCTATTATTAGGTGTCACTGAGCCTCTGAGCACCAAGAACAGTTTAATTGGTACAATTTCTTCTCTCGGCGTCGCTAACTAAGCAGAAGAAATGTTCCTTAAGAGCTAAGAGCTGGCTCGGTGTTTTGTATATTAAGAGAAAGCAAGAGTGGAGGAAGAAGCTTGGGTAATGGGGCGGAAAACCCACCTCGGGGCTTTCTTACCTCCCTCCCTATTCCCAACCCCGCGCCAAAAATGTATTCCATTCGGATCCGGAGGTTTAGAAAGGAAGAGGTAGGAAATGGGAATCCCATAGGCAAAGAATATTCTTTGTCCTCTTAGAAAAGGGGATCATTCAAACGTACAATCCTTTAACGGCTTAGAAATTCTTTTTTGAAATATAAAAAACAATTTTTTTTATTGAAAATCAGCTACAATAAACCAGTGTAATAGATATAAGGGTCAGGGTCCATTGATGTAATACATACTTAAGAAATATAATATATAAGTATCTAAAATGAAATTTACAATTGTATTTGGAATATTTAATAGTTGACTTTTGCGTTATAAAGAAAGGAGATGGTCCGGGGTGGCGGTCATAAATAAGCTAAATAGTTGTAAAACTATTTTATTAAAAGCCAACGTTTCGACCCGACTTTGCAGGTGTTCTTCAGGGCTAGAACGGACAAGATACGAAAAGATAGAGAATTGTGGAAGTTATATAATATTTAGACAAAAAATTATAAACAATGTGAATAAGCTTACTAAAATTATAATTAGTAAGTACATTAAAATATGAAACTAGTGGGTTTGATCGGGCCTGATGCTTATTACGGAAGGGAAATAGGATTGGGTTAGATCGGTCACATATGGAACATTATTGTGGATAATTTTATTTATGACAAAGTAGAGAGAATTGAAGATTTTTGGTAGTAAGGATTGAACTCGAGAGGAATTTGATAGTTATATAAGTAAGAATTTTTGTTAACAGTATTTATTCTCACAAAACAACTTTTCTTTATTATATTATGATGTTTCGGGATCCACTTTTATATCCCATCTTCAGACTAGAAATTATAATATTATCGTTATTTAGATTTTTTACAATCAATATAGTATTTTTTATATAACCTTATAAAACAATAACAAAATTTTGCCAATCTTACCAGTATCTTCATCCTATATCCTCTTATTTTTTATAACATTTGTCATATTATTTGTGGTTGTGTTAAGTTGAATGTATGTCTTTTAGTAATGTTATGATGGGCTAGGGTTGTTTTATTGTCTGTTTTACAATCTTTTTAATCATTTAAATGCTGGTTCATTCTTTTTTCTATATTTTGTCTTGTTTCGCCTATTTATATCATAGCACAACTATTACAATCCACCTTGTAAACATCGTTTTGTTTCAACTTATTTATTTTATCTTTCATCAGACTTAGGTAGTTATTTATTTTGTTTTGATTATATAAACCCGTGTTTATCTCACAATTATTATTATTGAATGTTTTTTTTTTAATCTGTAATATATATTTTTTTTGCAGATTCATTTATTTGTTTGTTATGATTCGATGTAAAAAAATCTTTTATGGATTTTTGGTTAACTTTCATTTTGTTTAGAAATTTTTTATGGATTAAGGGTTGTAAGTTTTGGTTATTTTCTGTTGTATCGAAAGGGTTTTTTGTATTTTCTCTTTGATTATTAATTCGGAACCACGTTTTTTTATTTATTGGTTTAGGGAACATATTTTCAATCAAGACAAATTTTCACCAGTAATTTTACATGCTCTACCAATGAGATTTTTGCTGGTTTATTATTTGATATTTTGGATTTTGGCTATGGAAATTTAATATTTACTTCTTATACACTGTTTAGTCCTTTCTGTGTTGAAAGAATTATTATTTTTAATTATCAATAAGGCTAAAAATCTTAGCTTGTCATCTATAGGTTTTTCTATTGTGAATATTATTCTTTTGTTGTATTTATTAAATGTATCCAGCAAATCTTTAAATTGATCTTTTTCAGTTATGATGAGTAAATCATGTATATATTTAATAGTCTGAAGATGGTATATAAAAGTGGATCCTGAAAATTGATAGTTTATTGCTCAACTCCATAAGTCTTATTATAATCGAGTAAATGAGTCTTTTATAGATAATTAAATGCTTGGGGCGTTTTTCTAGTAAGCATTGAAGTAGCCGGAAACGTCTAGCAGTTTCTTGTCGCTTCAGTCTTGTATGAGGATTCCAAATAAAATGTTTGGATTTATTCTATAATTTTTTTTTCATAGGATAGGAAATAGTAGGTTTATACTGGTGGGAAATGTTGATTTGAGAGATTTTTTGGAATTAATTTTAATCCTCCAATTTAGACACACTTTTAATTTAAGAAATAATATTAATGATGATAACGACAAATGATATGAATTTTCTCTCATTGTGGATGCCTAATATGTTATTTGTAGCATTTATTAGTATAATATGATATGATATAATATAAGGTGCTTGCACAATCATCTAACCTTTGACTGACACATCTGGACTTAATTCTCATTTTGTAGGATGCTTCTTGTAACGGTGATTCATTCTCTATGGTGAAATTTACCATTCGGTATGGCCGACCTGCTGACTCGGAAGGTTCCGTTGTTGCGAATTCAGCCTTGACTTTACTGTCATTTGTATTCGTCATGAAGAGTACTCTCTGGTAAAGTGCCCGTATACACTCCTCGGAATGAGACAAAGGCTTTCTATTCGCATGCATTTCCAATTATACATATGGCCGTCAGAAATTTTACACGGAAGATATACATTTTTTTTTTTCAATTATTGTTGAATTATGAGAACGCGATAAATCATTATAATTCTTTATTATTTTTTTTTTAAATCTTTTTATTGAGAAATAATACATTTTGCCACATTTAAGGGCACTGAGTACTAAAGCTGAGTGAGGCCCATTCATACTATATATACAATACAATAAAAATAAAAAAAATATTAAAAAAATAAATAAAAAATAAAAATATATATCTATATAACAAAGGCAAAAACTATAAAACCAAAGAAATGTAACTTAAAATCAAATTAAAAAAAAAATACAGAAATTGGTAGCAAATTAAATAAGTCATACGTAAAGCAAATAAATATATATTAAAAAAAAGAAAAACATTCATACTTAATATAAAAAAAAAGAAAAACATTCATACTTAATATAAAAAAAAGAAAAACATTCATACTTAATATAAAAAAAAGAAAAACATTCATACTTATTATATTTAATTTATTATTAGAATACGAAAGGGTAATTAAATGCGAAGATGTTGATTGCAGCAGAAGATGATTGTACATCATCTTAACAAATAAAGGAAAGAAAAAAAAAATATGAAATAAAGTAAAAGGTAATAAATAAGGGAGGAAAAACGTATGAAAATCAAGAAAATGTCTACTTTACACTGATAATTCAACCTAGTTCGAAAATAATGCTGCAAGACTTAATTTTTGTTGTAATTTGTTTTTAAGTTACGTGTGAAGCTCGGGTTTTTTATACAGTAAAACCTTCACAATAAGTCATATTAAATGCAACAGTACCCTGTAAAATATGCAGCAAAAAGTTATATAAAATGAAAAAAATACGTATTACTATTTAAAATGCTTTTATAGTACGAAAATGACCGCTAAAAAAAAATTAGATAACAAATAAGATTGTTATCTGGAATTTTTCATTTTATTTTTTAGTTTTATTATATATTGTACATAGGTGTGAATGTGTTTTATTTACTTTAATTTCATTTTTTTTTTTTTTTTTTTTTTTTTTTTTTTACACAGGCACATCAATTTAATTATTTTATTTTTTTCTATTTCTTTTTCTTTATTATTGAAATCTTAGTTATTATTTGTATGTACATATTGTGTGAATGAATCATGTAGCCTTTATATTTATGCCCTTTAATGTGGCAAAATGTATTATTATTCAATAAAGAAATCAAGTTAATAAAAAAAAAAATAGTTTTATTATATTTTTTAAAATTATTATTATAATTTAGAGAGAGACCCCTGGGGCCCGCCCGGCCTCTACAAAGTGGATACTCTTAATTAAATAATTAATTAAGGGAAAAAACCTGGCGTAGAGCGTGATCCTGGCCCGATCCCCTAAATAGTACTGAACCCTTCATGGGTTGTAGTGGTAAAGGTTTTTTTATTTTTTTTTATTTTATTGATACCATAAAATATGTAATTGTATGCATTTATTATCAAATATACTATTTTTATATTAGTGCACTGATTCCTAAATATATTTGAACAGCAGTTTCATAACTGTATACAAAAAAACATAATTTTCACAAAAATCCGGCCGCTGGTTATTAGTGAAATTCAGACTTCTACTCGAAAAATAAACATGTTACTTTCAACCGAAAATTGAAATTGCTTGTATCGTTACCAGGATTTGGTAATAATTGAATACTACTCTTGAATGACTGTAAGACTGAAAAGATTATTTGATTTTGGAATGATTGAGCAAATTATTATTTATGTGAATTTTAGTTTTTGAGTAAGGTATGTGAGTATATGCTACGAATGATGGTGTTATTCGGAATACATAATTATTGTTTGGTCATTGAAATAAAATAATTAATGTTCTCTATTTTTATGTGTTATAAGAGCGGCTTATGAGCTAACAGCCTAGTCCATTGACACCAAGCTGAGTGAGCCTCTCTGTCTGCGCCCTAGATCTCGGAGAATGAGCCTCTTGTGGTGGGACAAGCTCCGGATGATGGCCTCTCTTAATACCGAACACTCCGCTATGTGGGAAACGCCATGTGTGGCGTCATCCGGCGTCTTAGCAAATAGCCAGCGATGTTTGATAAATGGATCCTTAAACCGGGATAAGTATCGCTATTAACCTATTGCGAATATCTGTGAAGCAACAGCCAATATTATAAAACCAATATTAGGCAAGTGTTGCATCGCGGCCGTATTAATTGACATACTTGCAAGTCACGATTGGATATACGTTTCTCAAGGAAATCGAATGAGTGTGGAATCTAGGATCTAGGGTCTAATGAGTTTCTTTTCTTTTTTTTACGTCTAATATGAGTGAAATAACATTATATATTTTTAAGCATGTGAACAGTAAAGTGAAAAATGAACAGCAAAATAACAGTACATAATCTTCCAGCGAGGCACTTCGTATTATACAGTAGCTAAATATAAATTAAACTGGGAAGTATCACTAATACTTAATAACTTATCAAAAAATATATAAACATATCTTTCCTAATAAATCATAATTGGGTCATTTATTTATGTAAGTAGTTTAAAATCGGCTTTGAGCCTGTGAAATATTTGCTTAAAATAAATATATTGACGCTTTAAATTGAAAATTTAAACAAGATAAATATCGAATATTTTTTATATCTAAGCCAAACGATACATGGGTCTAATTTTATATAATCTTGTTGTTTTTTCTAATGTATATTTTTCAATATTGTTGGTGTTTCTGTAATGCATAACAAATTATGTTGTTTTCGTTATGTTATATGCATGAATTAAAAAGATCCAAGAAAGCCAAGTTTCTTTGAAATTGTTACAGCTGTTTTGGCACTACATTTACAGCGACACAAGTTTTTCGAGCCCCATTGCGAAACAAAAGGCTCGATGGGAATTAAATGTACATAGAAAAATGCCCGGTTTGGATTACAACGATGTTATGCCAAAATTTCAAACATTCTGAGATTAGTAGTTTTGAACAAACGAACATTTATATTTTTATATATTATATAGATTAAGTCGTTGATTTAACAATAAACGTGAAACTATATTTAGGTTTTTATTAGTTCATTACTGTTAAGAAAATTATAATTTTTTTTCTGACAGAAAAAACATTTTTTTTAATTGTTAATATTAAAGTTACCAATAATCTATATCTACTTTAATTCGATGTCAATCCTCTTTCCTTTCTTTCAAACATTTAAAATATCAGAACTCCTAATACGGATATTTGATGAATCTTTTAAGGACTAACGTCTTAACGTCTTTCTTTATTATATGAATCTAAAAAAATTCCTGGGAAGATTAAAAAAGTGGTGCAATTCAAAGTTGTCTTAATCAAAGAAATAAGGTACTAAAACATAGTCTGTATTACGAAACGCTTTTGCAAATATTTGAGAGAGAACTATGATTCTTTTTTCAAATTACATAACTGTTTTTTATTGAAATAATATCAAACAGGGAAAAATATATCAAAGAAAATATTTCTTTTTTATTTAATTGTTTCTGGGTAATATACAGGATGCTTCAGGGTTAAGTGGCCAAACTGAAAATATGAGTTGAGGACATAGAAACAAGAAAATAATTTCCTCTGAAGGTATATCCGCAAACGCTTTGTTTAGGAGATATTCAAACCTAAAGATTTTCGTTGTTATGAATTATTTACGTTATATTAAGTAAATAAAACTTATTTATTTGTTCCAACTACTATATTAATTAAACCTAACATTAAATTCATATTAAATGTTTTTCAAAGTGATTTCCTTGAGCATTAAGACAGGAAAGACTTACTTCAACAGCAGCATTCGCAGAACGACGGCACTGGATATATGTTATTGTTTCACAAGATAGAATTATCCTTCTTCGTGAGGAATTAAGATCATTTAACGGACTTGCATAGACCTTTTGTTTAATGTCACCCCAAACAAAAAAATACGTATACAAACACCATATCGGCATATTTACCATTAGTATAAATGGAAGGCATAATGATGAGCAATTTGCGAAAGCCTCTTACAAACTGATAAATGTTCTCGAGAGTTCCCAATTCTAATTCCAAATAGTGTTAATCCTTATGTTGCCAATAGTTTTTATACAGGTAGGGATAAAACGCCATATTAGTATTCTATCTAATCCATCTCCTAAAGAAAGCGTTAGTGGACATACCTTCACTTTGAACAACATTTAATAATAATATTAATGTTTAAATTTAATTAATAAAGTAGATAGAACAAATAAATAGGTTTTATTTATTTCATATAAATAATTCATAACAACGAAAATCATTAGGTGTAAATAAATATCTCCTAAACAAAGCGTTTGCGGACATACCTTCAAAGGAAATTATTTTTCTTGTTTTGAGGTCTTTAGTTCATTTTTACCACTTAATCCTGAAACATCCTTTATAATATTTTTCTTTTACGGTATCTTTCGCTATGGTATAGTACGAGTAATATTTTACAATACGCAATATTGTTACATTTTTTCAATATTAGTTTTAACAATTAATTCAATTACTAAACAGAAATTTAAAAAATATATTTATAATAATTAAGAAAACAACTATGAAAATAATAGAGCAGGAAGTAGAACGCAAAATAAATAAACAAAAATAAATACGAATACGAAATATGTTAAATAACAAAAATCTTTCTAGGGTGTTGGTACTTGTGTAATATGTCAAACCCTTTTACGTATATACTTGTCTTGTCATTTGTTAATATTTCATCTAGTAATATTGAGATTAAGAGATTATGAAATGACTTTTAAATGTATCAAGAAAGTATGAAACCATAAATGCATTTTTCCATCAATTTATAAAGCGTTCTGACGATAGATGAGGAGAAAAAATATGAGTGATTTATTATGGTAAATTGCGGAAGGGCTAAAGACAAGATCATTCGTTATTAACGGCGGTGGGGAATAACTATGAAGTATGGCGAGATCGAAAGTGTATTCAAGTACAAGTTGCCTCTTACGATTCTTAAACTCATACTGGTACTGATATCGATACTGCCTGGTTAGTATAGAAGCTCACTCGGCTGTGAAATAATGCATACTTAATCTGATCTTGTTTGTGCATATTTTATCTCCTTGGGGGATTAAAGAACGTGTTATTTAATATCTCGTTAATTTTACGTGTCAAAATGTATGTTTTCTTTAAGGTGATGAAACACCAGCCATAGGTTCGAGAATTCGTTGCATACTTTTTTTTTTTTTTTTCATAGTAACATTATTGTACCAGGAATTTGATGTTTTCCTATTTATAATCAATGTGTGAACCAGAACTTTCTTGTTTATTCATTGTTTTTCATTACAATTTTCGTTTCGATGAAATTCACGTTTTTTCACATCTTTTGTTTCACTTTAATATGTCAAAATGAGTTGAGGGCATTTATGAATGATATATGATATTATACTAATTTCAAAGGTTCTAGGTTTTGCAAAGCCTTTAAAAATTTACTTGTTTGTTTACTTCAGCTTAAACAAAACATATCCATCCAAACATACGGATTAATTTATTTCTTTTATTTGTAGACCAATTTCTTTTGAATGTTTTTTTCATTTATGTTTGTCTCTACCCTAGAGATTTATTGGCGGTAAGTTTTTCATATTCACTTGTGATACATGGTTTTGGTTAAATATTGGAACAGAGTGACGACATACTCTTCATTGTCTCGGAAAATATCTTTAAATGTCGTGTATAACTCTAATTTTCGTCTCTTTTTTGGCGAACTATTATGAGTTATAATAGCTAAAAATAACTATTTCTATTTTGTGGCCTTTCTGATCTTCGCATTTCTAAGTCAGCATTACACTTGGACGATCATATTTTTTACTCTGCTTATCATAAAATCATTTTTTTTTTTTATTAGTTTCTAGGAGGGACAGTATCTATTAGCTTACAGTAAGACAGTCTCTCATGATATTTTAACGTAGAAAGAAAAAATACAATGTCACAGAATTATATTATTTAATTATGATTATGAATAAGAATCAGAAAATTACTGAAAAAATATACCTATTCACAAAACTGGATCACTATCGAGGAATCTCATTCCTAACGATATTTTCTAGAATATTTACGTTGATCTAACCAGCCAAATAAAGATAAAGATAAAGATAACGATTCGCTGAGGAAAGTTAAGAACAGTGCAACGTTTTTGAAAATGAAGTTCTGCTTAATTATACGGTTATGTTAAAATGTTTAAGTTTATGTAAAGAATTAGAATTACTCAACTTTTTTTCATTTTTTTAATGTAAACTTACTGAATATTTCTAAAAATGGATCTTAATTACTTTAAAAATCATCAAAATATCCTTATAAATGTTAACATACTTCCTTTATCTTTACAGTTTTTTTTCGTAGGGACATAATATTTTTATATATCTTATTGTATTTAATCTATAATTGATTATGTTCCTAATAAGAACCTTAGTTCCTCTCACAATCCTCTAGTTGTATTTAATGCATTTTTACATACATATAATTTTTTCATTTTTTATATATAGTTTCGGCTTTTTCGGCAATTTACAAAATTATTAATTGCACATTTTTACACCACCTGTCCACATTTGTACATTTTTTACTCGTCAAATTTATCCAGACTAAATAAGGTTTTTCTTTATTTAAAATAAATTTTACTTTGTAGATTTTTAAAATCCATTTCCAATAAATAGAATCCATCCATTATTCAAAAAATCATTATGCACCCAAAAGTAAAAAAAAAAAATATTCTTTTTTTTTATAATTAATTTCTATTTATCTTGTTTTTTGTGTAGAAAAAAACTATATGATATTTCTTGATCTATACTTTATTCATATTTTCACATCGTGTGACATCTTAACATAATTGTCCTATTAAAAACTGTATTGACATTTGAGAAAGGGAGCAAATTTGCTTAACTATACTGGATAATCTTTTAACTTATTAAAAAACAAATTAATTTTAATATCAGTACCATGTAAAGAAAAATTTACTCTATTTATATTTTTAGTTTATATATTAGGCTAAAAAAAATGTTAATGGAAATAAAACAATCAAATATTTTCCGATCAGCAAATTCAGTGTAACGTATCATATAACGACATTAAAACTAGCATATTTTTGGAATCAAGATAATGCGGATTATAGACGTAGATAACTAATTTCTTGTTAGTCACCTTACGAAGAATGAAAAAAATAATTATTTATTATTTTTATTATATTATAAAATCA